CCCTGCTCGTTGACCTCACTGAGTGTGGGCTTTCCCTGCGCTTTGACCTCACTGAGTGTGGGCTTTCCCTGCGCTTTGACCTCACTGAGTGTGGGCTTTCCCTGCGCTTTGACCTCACTGGACATGGGCTTTCCCTGCGCTTATCCTCACTGAGTGTGGGCTTTGCCAATGCTTTGACCTCACTGGAAATGGCCTTTCACTTCTTTTTGACGACACTGGGTGTGGTTGTTCCCTGCGCTTTGACCTCACTGGATGTGACCTTTCCCAGGACTTTGATCTCACTGGATGTGGACTTTCCCAGCGCTTTAACCTCACTGGACATAGGCTGTCCCAGCACTTTGACCTCACTGGGTGTGAGCTTCTTGAGTACCATTTTCTGTGGACAGAAGAAAAGTGAAGCACTTGAGTGTTTGAAAACCTAAAATGTCCTGAGTCACATCTGTTGGCTTCCTCCATGTGGCAGGAGAGGAGGTAGAGATGGAGTTGGGGAGAGCAAAGCAGGGTTAAGGGTGGATGTTCTTCAGGGGCGGAGGGCCTCTGTGGAGATACGTTTCTGACTGGATCATGACCAGGCCCTGGGAGTAGCATGTGGGTCTGTCTTTGTTTCTGAAGCTTTTTTGACACTACAGAAAAGTGCAGATTGTTTTTTCTTTTACTTGACGGTGGTGCAAGTTGAGTATTTCAGTTCAAGAATTCTGTCTGGCTTTAATAATTAACAGCTGCACTGTGCACATCAGGAAGCAGGCCCAGTCCCTGGTCCCAAGCCCTTCAGGGGTGTTCCCCCGTAACAGGGGAGTGTAAAAACTGCATGATAATCCAGGTCCTTTACATTTATCAGTCTCCGTTGAGGTCCTACCATGAATCAATTTCAGGTGTCATATTTATGTGTTAAATCTAGTCCTTATTTGTTTTAGTGTTTCTGCCTGTCTTGTTTCATGCACCGTCTGCTTGTTCCTTATGCCCATAGCCGGCCAGTTCATTTATTCTTTTTCATCTCATTGTCTATCTCGTGTTTCTGTGATCTCTGTCTGCCCTCATCTGTCTATTTGATCATCTACTCAATCTGGTTGTCTGTTTCTCCCCATCTCTAGTGTTTGACAGCTGTGTGGCAACCTTTAAAAATTTTCCATGCACTTTCTGTGAGCTCACTGGCTTTTCAGTCGCCAGATCTGCACTCATCTCTGAGTTAACCTTTCCAAAATACACAAACACGTCTTTAAACAAGTTGACGTTTCCTCTCCTCTGTGTGTATACCGAAAACTTAAAGAATTTTACTTTGTTCCAAAAACAATTTTCTCCTGGAAAGTTGAACAAACATCTCAGCTCTTTGTGTGTCTGGGATTCATTCCAATGTACCATCTGAACCAAGAAGTGACCAAAGCTGGTGTAACACAGCTGCTCAGGGTCCCCCTGTTTCAGGTTTACGCCTAAACCAGCAGGTGTCTCTCTGAGTCCTGCAAGGGCCCCCAAAGACTTTGGAGTGGTCAGTGTGTTAGGAAAATATGCATTTTGGTTCTACTGTTAAAATTCACAAGTTCTTGGATTGTTCACATTATATGTATATATTCCTGAATAATGAATGGAATTAATCTGCTTAGAACAAAACAGAAAACTGTGTTTCCCTCCTAAGGTACTGTTAGACATGCTTGGTCTAAACCTTTTGTTTTATCAGATTATCTATTTGTGTTGGTGTAGACCTCACAGCCAGCTCTGTCTGAAACAGAGAGGACAGTATTCGAGAAAGCCGGTACTTTGAATAGCTCAGCTGGTTAGGGATCTGCACCCATGTCCAGAAGTTTGTGGGTTTGAATCCCACACTTCGGTGAGTAATCATTGATACTGAGCACTTGATCAAGGTCCTTAACCCCAAGTGTTCCAGTTGGTTTGCACACTGACTCTCTGACCCCAAAACCATGTCTCTCACAGTGAACAAGAGTGGTTATGTGAAATTCCAAAGTATCTTAATATGTAAAGTATCTCTGCTTGGCACAAGAGATACGAAAACAAGCTGGGAACTGAGAAGCTGGGGCTTTGGAACAGTGACACAGGAGTGGGAACTGCTGGAACAGAAGTGAGATTTAGAAGAGAGTCCATTCTTCACCTCTAAAGTCCTACAGATGGTTCCGGTTCTATGTGTGGCCCTGGGGCTTTCGCCCCAGTCCTGAAGAGGGACCTGTGATTAAAGGATTGACGTAGTTTCTCACTGAGAATTGTCAATCAGGCAAATAGTGTCACAGTGTCTGGTAAACACTCCACAGAGCTTGGTGACCGGGTTGCTCAGCTGGGGAAGGTCACCTGACCTGAGGCAGCAAGGCGTGTCTGTGTGTGAGTGGGGGAGAGAGAGAGAGAGTGACACTCAGTAAAGCTCAGTCTGCCAAGGATGCACGTCAACAGCGCTGGTTGCCCCCTGCCAGCGATGTCGGAGGGGGAAGTGGACATGAGTGTTATTTTGAGCTGATGCAAATGGTCTCATGAGTGGTATAATTGTGCTGGACCTCTGATGGGGCACTTCATCTTCAGAAGGCTGCTGGTTCTGTTAAGCTGTTCGCTGCTCTAAGGAGTTTCTGTCTTGTTTTCTGCAAAAGTGTAGATACATTACTTAACCTTCACATCCGTTAGGCAGAGCCAGCTCTGTACTGTGTATTTCCAAAGGAAGACAGTCACTCTGGGGTAATATCCATTTTTAACCCCTTATCCTGCTCAGGGCCATGGTGGTCATGGGGGGGAGGGGGGTGGTGGTTCCCACAGTAGATTTTGCTGCCCCACATACCCATTGAGCCTCCAGGAAAATGCCCGCTATGCCAGAAGGCCAGTCCAGTCCTGGTATGGCACAGGGCAGGGCTAGACCCTGGATAGGATGACAGCCCATCGCCCATGGAGTCCTGTACGGGCCTGAAATTAAAGCCTGAACCTGTACCTGAGACCTGGAGATCAGGCTCCATCTGGCCAGAATAGTACTAGAAAATCTAAACCATGAACCCTACCTGCCCCTGAAATTGTGGACATATTAGTCAAACGTCTGTACAGAGACATTTGTAAGCTTTTGTCATATTTCTTCCATTGCTGATTTTCTAGGTGGCTGTTCCGCGAGAGAGAGTGGGGTGTGGAGGTGGGGGGTGTGGAGGTGGGAGGTGGGGAGGTGCACAATGCAAAGCACAAATGACCGAAGGACTCAACAAGCGCAGGAAGAGCATTTAAATTAAATCATACATGACAAACTAACCTGAACTTGACCCAAGCCTCAAGTTACACAAAAAAACTGACCCGTTCCTGGTCCGAAACCTGATATTGTCGGGTCCCGTTGGGCTCGGGTCTGGTCACAGACCTCTAAATACACCCCGCACATGCACACTATGGGCAATTAGAAGCCCTGGTTACCCTAACTGGATTCAAGCCGCTAACCCTCGAGGTGTTAGCCCACTGTGGCAGCCCCATGGGTAATATTGCTTCCAAAACGTCATTGTTTTAAGTTTCGTGTGGCAGTGGGAGGATCATCGCCTGAAGTCGAGGCTCAACAATGACACTCATCTTTCTTCACAAGGTTAAGAAATTCGACTCAAGACATACAGCAAGCGTCAAGAAAGTCAAGCTTTGAATGCACATCCAGATATGGCTGCAGGCCTGTTGATATTTGAGCAATGTGAAATATGACACCAAATAAGGCCGGAAACGGGATGTCTTTTAGGAATAAAATTTATTTAGTTTATTTAAAATCAATGCTAGTTATTTAAACTTTGTGTTTGCATAATGCGAGTGCAAGGTTAATGAGAAAGGGGAGCTTCTGTTTACCTTGCTATTTATCTAACATTTCTGAGGACACCGCAGGCTGTATTTGCATAAATTCATTTTTATTTCACTTATTAATGGTGTGTATTTCTGAGTTATTTTTGATGAAATGTTTGTTTAATTGGAGCTCAGCTTTAGATCGAAGCGTTTGAGGTTGTGGAGGCTGAAAGGGGTCTCTGGCTCGGTTCTGTGTTGCTGAAGAGGGTCCAATCAGCTGTAATGTGATGTATTAGCTGTCCGTTTTATACGTGTTTCTTCTAGCTGTGTTTGCTGTTCGTTTGATATCTCTTTCAGCACCTGGCCTGGTTTGGCACCTACATCCACCAAATCCAGGCCTCGCTGGTTCAGGCTGCCCTCGGCTGCCTTTAACAAACTAGATCGGATTTGCAGAAATGAATAAAGAAATAAAGATGAAACCCGCTTTACGCCACAGAGCCGCGGTGCCAGCAATCGTCTCTCATCACCTGCCGGCATGTAAACATATGCAGATGATCAGGCAGCCGGGAGGTGCGGGAGAGATACACGGGAGACACGGTGACTCCCATCCCGTCATCAAACACGTGGCAATGGTGCTCCTGAACCCAGTCCAGATGTGTCCAGATGGGAAAGGCGAGGCCTGCCTTATGGGGGGGGAGCATGTGACATGTATAAATTATGGTCCTCGAGTCCATCACATGCCCCAGCACGCTGGGAAAGTGCTGCTCGAAGGTGACATGCATCAAGCACTGCATGGCCAGGCTGCGGCGATCAGATCTGATACCATACGACTTTCACTCTACACCAGACAGACACACTGCTTAATCACCCATAACCCTTCTTACCAGGCCTGTAAACCCAAGGCCTGTTTCAATTTGCTGGTTCTGGGTTCCCTTTTTGTGAAGCCTGTGGTTCTCCTCTCCTCCTGCCGGCCCCCTAGCTGGAAGCCAACAGCCAGCACCGAACTTGCCGGGGAAGCCTAACTTCTTGATAAGTGTCCCTGGCAGTACATCCTAGCTGGCACTGAACCACCCCCCCAACCTTCCCCCGCCCCCCCCTCTCCCCAGGTGTTCCCTTTCTCAGTAAATAAAATGCCTCATTTGCATCCCAAATTTGCATCGCTGTCACTGAGCACTTAGAGGTGAACTTCGCCTGCACGCTACTTAAAATGCGAGCCGGCTGCACGCTCTTAACCTTGTCCTGCCCAGATGTACTGGTGCAGATTTACCAGAGCAATTAAGCCACATTATCTCCGGGGGCGGGGGCCCTGAGCGCCGGCCAGGTGTTACGGAGGTGTCAGCAGGAGGATGGGGAACCGCGGTCACATACGCTCCCTTGGGCTAAGACCCAGTGTCATAATGTGACCGCAGCTGACAGATTAGGGGAGTTCGACCCACCTCCACTTCCTGCTTTCTCCCTCCGTCTTTCTGTGTCTCTCTCTCGCTTTCTCTCTCTGTCTCTCCCACTCTCTTTCTCCCTGTTAGTCTTCAGGTTTCCCATCACAACAAAATAGATTGAAGAGGATGAGGAGTCGTAGCAGGGCGATGTCGTGCATTCCCGCACCTCAACAAAGCATGTTTTTTTATTTGGGGAGGGGGGGGGGGGGTCTAGCCCCTACAGGCAGCACAGACGACCTCTGCCACTTGCACACATTTCACTGTTATCTGAAAAAGTTTGCCAGCCAATGATAGGGGCTGTCTCATGACTCATTTAACGATTAACAAGACTCACTGCTCCTGATTGGTCCAAAACAGAGCATGAAACAAGAGCTTGGATTTCTCACTGCAGGGCTGGGTAGAAACTGCTTGACAATTGCTTCCGTCACCTTTAGCTGGTTTCTAGTAATATAAAACCATCTTGTGTTTGACCCTTGCAGACGACACACCCAGATCTTGTTGCCCCATCTGTGGGCCTCGTGCCCCATCTATAGGTTCATCACCTTTCTTTTTTTGTCCCTTTGTCACCCAAAATGTCCCTTCTTCCAAACCTGAATGATGTCCCCTCTCTGACCTCCTGTCCCTGCATCATATGGGTCTGATTGTCATCCTAACTGGAGCATGTGACATCTCTTTTTTTTGAGAGTGGGGCAGGATGTCTGTATTCCACCAGATCCACACTTGCCCCCCCCCCCCCAGGGTGCTTCTCCAGGGCAAAGACACCAGCCACCCAAGGGCAAAGGGGTTATCCAACTGTCCCCAGGTTTCTTATTCATTCTGTATGACATTTTAATGTTACCGATTTCATTAATGTCATACGCTGAGGCATGCAGTACAAACCTCTTGTTAAAATGGCTTTTGGAGACGCTTTGCTTACGTTGGATAGGTTTTGTGCTTTTAGGAAAATGGCTTGTTTCGTATTCTGTATATTTCACTGTTCATCTGTTACTTTCAAGTTAATGTTTTTCCTTTCGCTTCTGGCGAAGCTGGCACCAGCGTGGCCTCCTACACACTGCCGATCTCTGTGCTGCTAATGCAGCTGCAGCTCTGTCTCTGTGTTAAGATCTGTCTCTGGTGTTAGGCTCTGTCTCTGTGTTAAGATCTGTCTCTGTGTTAAGATCTGTCTCTGGTGTTAAGATCTGTCTCTGTGTTAAGATCTGTCTCTGTGTTA